TTTAAAAAAAAAGAAAAAGAAAAAGAAATAATAATATCTTTTATTCTCGTCATCATTTACTCACAACACTTCCCACACTCTTATTTCATCTGTTTCTTATTTTTATTTTTGTTTTATTTTATTTTATTTTAATTCCTCCCCTAAAAACTAAAAGGAAAAAAAAAAGAGAAATTAATTCACTTTCTCTTTTCCTTCTCCAATTTTTTATTCTATTTTATTTTAATTTTATTTTTACATACATACACCCATAACCCCCCTCATCTTTTTTTACACTTTACTACCCTTCCTCCCACTTACTTATCTGGTTCTGGTTCGCACTATTCAATGCCAACCATATCTTCCACTCTCGACCAAGGATCTCCTTCGTCCTCACATCTTCATTATCACCGCTCTCACCCTTCCCATTCTGCTAATAATCCCGACCCGGCCTACACCTCCCCGGTTGACCAACGTCCCCATACGTCTTCTTCCGCCTCATCCCTCCCTCCCTTCGCTCCCCCCGCCGCTATTCCTCCCTCTGTCACTCCCTCGACCGTAACCACCACTCCTGCCACCAAACCGAACGCCACCGGCTTCACCGGTTCAGTCATTGGTTCGATCTCGAGACGCAATCGCCGTTCCTTCGCTGCCCTCGCCCGCGAAAAGACCTCCAGCGCTCTCGCCAACCTCTCCGCCATCGGAGGTGCCACTACCAATTCCCCGCTCCGTCCGTCCGTGTCGTCGGGGAGCTTGACCAAGCACTCGCGTAAACCGTCTCAGGTCGGCTCTGGTGAGATCACAGGTGGAACGTCCTTTACCCCGCCTATATCCGACAGCCGCGCCAGCATTGAACATTCGACTGTCGTTCCCTTCGAATCCGCGACTAGCTTCACGACCCCGGCCGTGGGTGAACAATTCGATAGGCGCCGCCAAACCCTTCAGCATATCCCCTCATCTCTCGACCCAAAATTGCAAGTCGATTCTACGCCCAAGATGCATCAGACCTCCTCGCGCCTGTTGCGCATGACAGAAGATGATCGCCCCTTCACTAAGGTAAGAAATCCCATTCCCTGCCCGCGCTGCGAGTCCTCCCCCCGAGAATGATTTATATGGTGGCGAAGTCAGTCGCTAACTTGACTTTGTGCCGTAGGATTTTATGGACCTCTTCTCGACATTGATGGTCAGCTTGAAATTGGATTCGCATCGCGTACGGTTCACGAAATATGACCACTCGTTCACCTCCGAGGAGGCGATCAATAACCTCGGATCCCTCAAATTCTCCCAATCGAATCGGATGCCGGATCCGAAGGACCCCTCCCGGATCGTGACCACGACGACTACGACTACGTTCTCAATGGCGAAGGAGATGGCCCGCTCGGTGTGTCAGCGCTTTGTCGACGCTCGTTTTATCGAGTCGGTTGATGGCAAGGCGTCGGTCATCTTCCCGCTGAAAGGGGCGCTGTTCCAGCTTACCCCGAAAGGCATTAACATCTTGCAACGATTCTGCCAGCGAAATGGAATCACCGCTCGCCATGTGATCGACGTGTTGGAATCGCCGCGGAACACCATGCAACTGGTCAACCTGGAACGCGACTCGGAGACCGACAAGCTGTCGCATGATCGGGCAACCATTGAGGTCATTTTCCGTCGGTTTGCCGGCCAGGACGGGCCCAATGTCAAGAGTAGTACCTCGAGCTCCGATTCGGACTCGTTGAGCGATTATTCCAACGGGTTGGTAGGTGTCAAGATGGCCAAGGAACGTAAGATCAACGATCGGATCGTTGCCAATACCTTCCACGGGAAGGCCGCGGTTGATTGGCTGATGGATTGCTCGACGACCATCGAGCGCCGGGAAACCGTGCTGATTGCGGAACTTTTCGTTAAATACGGGTTAATCACCACGCTGCAAGAGGACAAGTCGATTCCCTTGCCCGATAACTCGATCGTCGCCTTCCAGAATTCCAAGAACGCCATTTACGGAATTAGCGAACGCGGCCAGCGCGTATGTGGATGGATCGCCAGGGAAAAGCCACGTGACACTACGACTTACGACAGCCGTGGTATCCCGAGAGACTCCAACAATGCGAGACTGAACCACATCCTTCACGATCCTGCCCTACGACTCCTGTTCCGTGAATTCCTGCGCTTCTCGCTCTGTGAAGAGAACTTGTCCTTTTATTTGGACGTGTCCGAATTTACCTCGACCTACCACAAGGCGGACAAGGTCGGCACATTCAAGAAAGCGGATTCGGTCCGGGAGACCCTGGCTGCAGCATATGGTAAGCTCATTGGCGATAAGCACATTCCAAATCTTTGCTAACCAAATAAGGTCTTTACAATGCCTTCTTGGCTCCTGGCTCGCCCTGCGAACTCAACATCGATCACGCATTGCGCAACAGTCTGGCCGGCCGCATGACCAAGGCCGTGGGCGATGATGAATCGATGCTTAAGAGTCTGCAGGAAGTGGTTCATCTGTTTGAGATGGCTCAGACCTCGGTCTTCAAGTTGATGTCTAGCGTAAGTACTCCAATTACCGAACACACCGGATGTACAAGTCTATTGCCGAATAGGACTCCGTGCCGAAGTTCTTGCGGGATCCCAAGTACGCCGTCGTTCTCCAAGAACACGACGTGGATTTAATAGGCGCTACGAGATCGTACTCGCCGACACAGGCGCCGATCCCGGAACGCTCTATGAGCCGGTCGGCGCGGCCTTAAAGCCTGCGATCATGCAACATGGCCGCTCTTCAATACTGTCAACCAGACGTTGACCCGGTGACCCAGTTACCGACGATATGAGCCGTCCGCTATCCTGGGAGTGTTCAGTTTCAACGGCCACACTTCCTGCGGTAAAAACGACGTGTTTCCACGCCTACGGACACTCGCCTTATACATATTCCCTTGGCGGCGGGATTTCTTTGGCAATCTCGTTTGTAACCAAGGTATCATGACCGATGAAGGACGTTACGATCTATGGATCATGTGATAGAGATGGTTGATGGAAAAAATCTTCCAGACTACACTTTCTTTTTTTTCTTTTCTCTTTTTCATCTCCTTTCTCCGTTTCTATACATTTTCAAAAACTCCACGTCTTTCGTCGATACACGGATGACGAACGTGGAGATGGAGGCTGAGGTACGACAGTTTACCAGCATTAGAGAGGCGTTCATTTGTCATTTCACTTTCTTTTTTTTTTTTCTTTTTTTTTTTCTTTTTTTTCTTGCATGCATGATTCAAGACTTTTCTTTCGTTTTTTTTCCCCATTTTCCTTATCTCCTTTCCATTATTTCACATCAACTCTCCATATGTCATGTTTGTCTGCATTTTTGTGCGCTCCTGCCATGTGTCTTCTGTCTGTCTGCATATCAAGCATAGCTTTTGCGCGTCTACTTCTCATTTGTGTTTTCGTTCAGCATTTTCGAGGATTCAGCGAATACATATGTATATTCATCTGCCCTTTGAAGTTCTGGCACTTTTTTCTTCTGGTTCTTTCTCTCGGGGCAGTATCGAATGGAAAATAGATACAGAGCAATAAACAACAATAAACAATCACGCTAGTCTCTCTTTCACTCGGTAGATAGTAAGCAGTCAGTAGTATGCTTGCGACAGGTACAGTACCTACCTACCTACCTACCTACCTACCTCCTACCTAACAAGGTACCCAACAATCTCTACCCAGTCAGCTAGCTACGTAGTCAAGTAGTTAGAAGTTGCATGTCTCACAACCCCAGCAACCAACTACGTAACTAGCAGGTAACCAAGCATCCCAACCCAACCCCAAACGGAAACCAGATCCCAAACGAATCATCATTACTCCCCCTCGCACGGACCTTGGAGAGGGCGGGGGGTGTCGAATCTGGAGGGTCGGACTACGGAAATAAGAGGAGGGGGTATTTCTCGGCGCGCCAAACCTCTCGAAGGATGCATGCAGGATGACCCGGGTAAGTTAGTCAGTTACTTAGCATGGTGAGGGGAAGCTAAAGCTAGCTAGAGCTTGAAACACATGGCGACCACGTGTTGGGGGCTTTTGCCAGTTATAGTTAGTTTAGTTGGAATTGGTCATGATTTATCAGCTGGATTATAGTTTTACTAGTTTAGTGGTCAACTGGATAGTTCACTACCTCTGGCTAGGGTAAGAGTAAGTAAGGTGAGTTGGGAAGACTAGGTCTGGTGGGTGTTGTTTGGGTTGGGATGGGGTTCGGTTTCGTCTAGTATACCTTAGGTACTAAGTTGGTTATACTAGGTGGAGAGAGAGACAATAGATCGAGGTAAATATCGAGAAAAAAAGAAAGAAAAGGAAAAAGATAACATCAGATCATGCCGAAACAGATGGATTAAGATAATCCAAAACAACGCATACTCAACAGGGTAGATAAAAATTGGCCATGTACTTACCTAGGTAGTTCACCTTACTATAGGTAACTGTCTAACTCACTATCTGCAAATTCACTTTTGGTTAGTGCTTTGTCAGGGCACGTTCTGTTAACTGACTAGTTAGAGAGTTACCAAGCCTTGATTGGCTTTATTTTGTGAATGTCGTCTCGGGTTAGGTCGTTAGCAGTTTTGTAGGCTTTCTTTGTGGCTTTGTGACTCTGTAGATTGACTGGGAATTGTAGGCATTATGATAGTTAAACAGAGACCATGTATTTCTATCTATCAAGGGTAGATAGGTAGGTAGCGTATGCTATCTAATCATGTCCTGAAAATGTTCTATTAATCACTATGCAGATCAAATTTAAAACCCATCTAGTTAAAACGCCAAAACATAGAAATCATGGATAAACAGAAACAAGAAACAAGAAACGTTATCTCTACCCGTTCTCGTCCGCATAGAGCATTTGGTTGAGTTGACGGTGGTAATTTTGACTGCAGGATACAGGCTTGAATTTTATTGAATACGAACCAGCTCCGAATTCAAAGAGATTGATACTAGGTAGTTATCCCACGCCGCATTCCATGCCCTTCCATACTGTACGTGAGACCACAATGAGGTAGAATAATATACAAACCGATAGCAGAGCAAAGAATCACTGTGAAATAGGCTCAAGACGTCACGTTATGTTATGCTGATGAAAAGATAGATTACTTCGACCCCCACCCCCGCAGCTTCATCCCCTCCTCAATAGCAGTCCAGATGCCCTCGACGATTTCCCGATCCCGCCACCGGCCCGCACCCTGCGTAGCACCCTTCTCGTCCCACCGCTCGACGCCAAAGCTCTGCACGCCGCGTCCCCACCCGCGGACTTCCCGCGGGGTTTCCTCGCCGCGCCAGCCGACGTAGATACCGGTGGCGTGCTTGAACAGCTCTGGGGGCGAGGTCCACTTGTAGGACTTGAACTGCCAGGTTTGGCCGGTGGTGAAGACGGCGACGAGCCGGCTCCAGTAGTCCGGGCGGAAGTTGGCGGTGCTGTCGACGAGGATGAAGCGGGTGGGTTTTCTGGATGGGCCGACAGCGCGCGATGTGGAGCTGGATGGGTCGGAGAGGGTGCGCAGCGGCCGGGAGATGTAGAGGATGTTGGAGCTGGGCATGGAGAGGGTGGGGTGGTCGGGGGGCACGAAGACGCCGTCTTGGAGGAAGGACCGCACGTTGGACATGCGGATGAGGGATGAGGCGGAGGGCGAGAGGAGGATGATGGGGTCTTGGGTCTTGGAGCTGCCCTTTCGGGGTTGCGAGAGACCTGCGGATGGGGCGGGCACCATTGCTTGTGGTTTCGTGCCGGGCTTGGTGCCTGGGGGGTATTGGCCGGTGCGCGAGCGATTTCGTCCAAGGAACGTCTCGGCCGTTTTGCGGACATGCGAGAAGTCCTGAAAAGAATTGTCAGTCTGAGCAGCTGGACGGAATGGCCCACAAGAGAGAGGCTCAACTTACTGTCGGCTTGATGCCCCGTAGTACACTATTGCGATCCCCCATCTTGCGCTCGCCATTATAAATCTCCTGCAACCTCGGATCAATCACCTTAGCCGCCCGTCCATGCTGAGCACCCCCCGCCTGCGCAGTCGCACCCGGCGCACTCGGCACGGCAGAGACACCCCCCGCAGCGCCGGAGGCAATATTAGCGGAAGCCTGAGCCTGAGCCGCGGCCGAAGCAGCCGCCGCAGCAGAGACGCCCTCCAAGGGCTTGATGTACTCGCTGTCGTCGGAGGCGCCCTCAAGCCAGGTGATCAAGTCGAGGCGCTCGACGAAGACCAGGTTCTGGACCTTCTCCTCCTCGTCCTCTCCATCTTTGCGCTCCTTTTGCTTGAGCGACTCGTTCAATTCCTGCGCGGAGGCGATGTATTCGGGGATCGCGACGTCCTTTTTCTGCCACGCGAAGAAGATACTGCGTAGGTCGACGGCGGAGTCGGAGGAGGCGGAGACGAAGCGGGTGGGGGTGGATAATGGGATGGAGTGCGGGAGGGGGTTTTGGAAGTAGAGATGGGTGGCTTTTGCGAGGTCGTCGGTGGCACTTTGCTCTGAGAGTTCGGGGGAGGTTGTCGGGGTGGGAAGGCTTCCCGCTGCGATGGCCCGGCGAAGGGCTAGCAGGGGATCTTGGAGGGATGGATCGTTGGCCATGGTGATGATGGTGGATGAACTTGGGGCGGGGATCACCACTACTCTGAATTATTGTCCAGAATAGGGTGGGTGGAAGAGATATAGGGTGACGATCGTCGGATGGAAGCTGAAGCTGGCGCAGATTGCGCTGAGTCGCGCAGTCGAGGATCCGACGGGTGCACGTGACCTGGCGTTGATCGTCGCCCGCGTACAATCGTCAGTATCAGACTTCAACACGTTTCCCGATTCATAGATCGTGTCCAATACGGTCCTCCTTGAATTCTTTGACTGGTCAGAACCCACAGCAAACAGCGCTAGAAGTCATCCTTCGGCGAAGTATGCATGGACAAGACTGTCAGCCTCTAGATTCACATGAACAGGTTGACCTAAGATATCCTCGAACAATATCATAAAGGGAAGAGAGAGTCAAATTAACCCACCGCTTACAAGGTCCCAATCTAACATACCGCACTTCATTCTATCCCCAGACGATCAAGTCTCCCGCCGCGACAACCTATCATAAACCCGAATATCATCCATAGTCTAGCCCTCTACGAACGAACAACCCCTATCTCACCACTTCTTTCCCATCAAGTATCCGTACATCTTACAAATTCCTTCACTCAAACAGTCTATACCCAAGCTATCAACACCATCAAGGTCTCTCTCTCTCTCTCTCTTACCAAGCCTCTCACGGCCTTCTCCCATCAAAATTCATACAAACCATCAGTACACCAGAAACAACCATGATTACCTCCCCACCCAACTAAACCAACTAAACCCATATATCCATACTACTTACCCACTGTTCAAGACTATCAATCACAACAGAAAACAGAAAACAGAAAACAGAAAACAGAAAACCGCAAGACTCCACACGAATCATCCAACACACTACAAACTACAAGTAAACCATTGCAGACTGTCATCACAGCAAAAACACAGAGACAGAGATACATAGAATAGAACCCAAAGCCCATGATACAGCTGACTAGCTAGCCAGTCAATCTTTGCTGTACGAATTTTCCAGCAGAGTTCAAAGATGAGATTGTTGGTCTGTAATGCAAGGATAGTCACTTCACGTCAAACGTAATAGTTCCCGGATGGAAGGATAGATAGATAGATAGATAAGTGTACGTCAAAGGTTATGACATAGGTCATCAATCGAGATCGTGATTGCGGCTGGCGCTGCGACGTGACTACTACGTAGCATACAGAGGTGCATTGGGATGTTTTTAGTGTAGTAGATGTTTCCTTTCTTCCACTACTACGTAAATCGCGACGTATCTGATCCACACATGTCCTGAACTGAACCATATCACAGCGTCTATCAGTACGGAGTACACGTGACAGATAGACAGACAGACAGTAACTAGTAACACGGACCGCTACTTTATTTCTCCAGACTGTCCGTAACTAGATAGTAGATACTAGGGTCATAATGACCTCATGAGGCTCTTCCAGTGGACCACAATATGAGTAAACAAGGAAAGGAAAGACAATTGGCGATCATTACTCGTCATATTCGAGTTAACTACCTCATACTCGTGTTACTACCCTGCCCAAACAAGCTGAAGCCTCGGCATAGAACAGCCTAACAGTAAGTGAATAAGAACAAAAAAAAAGGAATAGAAAATAAAGGCTAATAAAGACAAATCATGAAGGGAATGCTGCACGAGGTAGACCTCAAGGTCCACCCCAAAAAAAAAAAAAAAAAAGCCAGACCCTAGCACACACTCCTACCTTAAGAGTATTTTCGTAACCCATCACCCTTTTCACACGCCATATACGCCTTTTCTCGAACCAAGCTTCGGTTCCCGAACTCACGGTTGAACGCCATATTCCACCGGATACAGAGTCAAGATGGAAAAAAAAATAATAATAATAATAAAAGAAACAAAGATGACGAAAAATTGGTTTCACATAGAGAAGATATCAGAAGAGAGATCTGCCGGATAGCCCCAGGACCGGCTCACGTGATCGGGACGTGGCTAGAGGCGTCCTTCATCACCACGTTTGGTGAGTGAGGATTCTCCGGCTTAGGCACCCCTAACACAGGAGGAGCCTTGTCGTCCGGGCGCGGAGAATTGCCGACCGCGTGTGCATCGCGATCGACCGAGGGTTGACTAGGCGGGGACTGCTGTGGAAGCGTCGAGGTGGCCTGGGCTTGGGTCTTCTCCGATGTAGGGGTTGATAGTGTCCCTCTCCGGATTAGGTAATCGCCCAGGCTGAGCTTCTTCTTCACCGGACTGGGCGCCGTGATGCCAGGTCCAGGGGTGGTGGGATTAGGATGTGACGAGTCGAGGGTAGATGGCGGGGACATGCCGGTGGATGCTGTAGCGGAGCCTGGACTGCTGGCGGAATGGACAGAGGGAGCCGCTGGGGGAGGAAGAGAGACCCGTAGGTTGGCACCAAAGTTACTCATGTTCTTCCCAGGTATTCGACTATTATGAGCCGCGGTCGATGGCCACGGCGGAGGGGCTGGTGGCTTGGTAGAGCTCCGCGCGGACAATGGCGAGGAGTCTGCCTCTTGCCCGACGGATCGAATGGACGACGTCCCTGCGGAAGAGCCGAGATCCTTCATATCCACATCTTTGTCCCCCCGTGCACTAGGGGTGGTAACCGTAGGCGGCACGTGATGAGGACTGAGAGAGGATGGGGAGGCCAGCGGCGCACTTGGGGAAACTGGTGACCGTTGGCAAACCTGCTCTAAACGCACGCGATCGGAATAGCATCGTTTCAACAGTCGTTGAGTCAGTGGAACGAAACTAGATCGACGAGGCGTCGACAGCGCAGATGTGGGGGTGGTCGGGGGTAATCCTGCATTGTTATCCACCTCGGTCTGGATAGCCGAATCCACATACTGCTGAGGACTCCCCCCATGGCGACCGGAAGGAGTGCTAGGGCCGGATGCTCTCCGTGGGGAGCCATGACGTGCGAACAACCCCGGAGACGGACCGGACGACGGCGAATAGGACTGACGATCACGCATGCCCGGCTGAGTGGCTGATGTTTGGAGGGACGGCCCGCTGACCCGTTTCCTTCGTTTGTGGGACGCTTGTTGATTCTGCTCCAACTGTTGAAACTTCTTTTCCGCGGCCGCGATCTTGCGCTTTTCCCGTGCCGACAGCTCCGACTCGCCGAAGCCCGAGCCATCATGCGTGGGCAACGTGGGGGTGAGATCGCGACTGTGTGTTTGACCGCGGACCGAGTCGGACGTCGAACGACTGTCCGCCTGGTCATCGTCGTCGGCATTCTTGGTCATCTCACTGCCGGCACGACTATTACTGGCCGCAGGCGAGATGTTGGATGATTTGATCTTGGGCTTCTTCCGCTTGGTACCGGCAGACTTGGAGTCTAGCGCCTTGGGATGTCGCCGCCGATCCACGCTCGACAGCAAGCAGTTGGGGGGCGGAACGCAGGCGCACCCGCCGAAATGGGCCAGCACATTGCTGATGCAGATGGCGGCCGCGTCCTGTGCCGACTCACTGGTTTCCTGCTTAACGAGGCCATTGGTCGATTCAAACAGCTGAGGATCTAGGTACCACATGGCGGTAATCTCGGAGCCGGGCGGGATGTCTTCCTTCGCGACAAAACAGAAATGGTATTCTACCTCGTTCGTAATATAGGTCTTCATCGTGACATTGGGGCGACAAGAGCGCCGTACAAAACGAAGAGTGCTCCCTTCGTGCCGACTATCAATGTAGATCGGCAACTGCGGGTGAAAGAACACAAAGGGTTCGGGGTGCCGGAGCTCCTGCCAACGATTGCCGGGATCGAGACAGTAATCGCGCAGGAGTCCGATCTTGCCGGTGATCTCACCTACGATCTGATCTTTGCCCACGGGATCCCGGGTCTTGAGGATCTTCCAGGTGGGTTGTCGGCCATCGACCTCGAGACCAGGGTCCGTGATCGAGTCGATGGACAACTCGGGCCAGCGACCCCGGTCCAGGGCGGCGTCCGACCAAGTGAAGATGTCCTGCGCCGACCGACCGTTGGTCACATTCGCCAGCGCCTCCGGCTTGGTCACCCACGATGCCAGATCCGCAGCAAGAGGGAGGTTGACGAAGAGATTGCTATCCATGTGCGAATACCCCTGGTCGCGATCATAGAGATGCAGGAAGTCACTGGAATACAGGGGGATCAGAGGACCCGAGGGTTTGATCGGACTCATCGACGACCCGCCCCGCTTGCGCCCGTCGGGCGCGAGAGAGGGGAGGCCAGACATGGAACTGACCGACCCGGAGGGGCGATGGTTCGTCTTGGACTTCTTCGCGGGTGGTGGATCACGGGTCCCCGACTCCGATCGGTGGTGGAACCCATTGGCCTGATCCCCGTGATCTTTTGGTTTCTTCTTGTGGCTCTTGGTCCCGGAGCGTTTGGTTTTCCGGTCACCGCCGTCGCTCTGCTCCCTACGCCGCCGTTGCCGTTCTGTGGCGCGCCGGCTGTCCACCAATCGGGGCTCGCAATCCACGCAATTGTGAACCTCCGGCACGCGCTGATCAGGGTAGTAGCAGTCTATGTGCTGCCAGGTCTCACACCCTTCGCAAAAGACCGTATTTCCATCGTCATCTTCGAAGGCACAGATGCATTTGATGGTATACGGCTCCTCTTCAGGGGCGGCAGAGTCCGATACGGCGCCGTTGAGGGCAGGTGAGTTCAAGGGGGCGGTGACCGGGCGAGGCTCCGTGGTTGGATGCGTGATGGCGACTGGGGAGGTATCTGTCATAATCCGACAAGATACCCCCTCTCAGGCAAGGTAAATAGAAGCGCAGACTAGGTTTGAAGGAGAGAAACTTTTCAGTATGACCTTTCAAGCACGACACGCATGTCAACCGTCGGCTTCTGACAACCGTATCCTGACAGGGCTCCTCACGGAGGATGAGCGACAAGGGGTGGGCACACAGAGATGGCCAGTAGGGAATAACCGTGCAACCAAGACGAGAAAAAAAAGAAAGAAGAACGATCCCAGAATGTCTTCCCTGCTAATCGAGGACACGACGAGTATCGAAACCAGAGTTTGCGAACGAAAAAGGCGACGCTTGAAGCCTCAATAAAGCCTTGTACCTCGGTGGCGCGTGCGACCGGGGGAAAGAAGTGTATAAAGGGTCGAAGGTCGATGAACGTCAAGGGACGGGTGAGACTCGAATCGCATGGAGGAAAGGCCGAGGATGGAAGTTGGCGAGGTCGATGGAGGACGAGGGACTGGTCAGGTCGAGAAGGGTCAGGCGATGGTAGGGATTCGAGGACCGGTCGAGAGGACGAGACGAAGCAATGAGCAATGAAGAAGAAGACAATCAGGGGAGAAGGATAATTAAAGAAGAAAGGATGGCAATCCAAGGATAGGCGAGAGGATTAAAAGATGAAGAAAGAGGAAGTGGAGCCAAAAGGGTGAAGGTAAGAAGAGGAGATAAAATGGTAGGGAGAGGAAGAGAAGAGAAGGAGAGAAGAGAAGAGAGGGCGAGCGAAAGCAAGAGCAAGAGAGGAAGAGAGAGAGAGAGAGAGGAGAGAGGCTAAAGCCACGGATGGTCCATTCAAGCGGCGCGTCCCAGACCCAGAGAGAAATAGGAAAAGCGTGGAATTTTTTTTCCCACCCGCTCTTGCTTGCTCCCGGAGCAGTAAGTAAATGGGGAAGACAGAGAGGGGGGATGGAAGGTGGAAGGGAAGGGAAGGGAAAGAATGGAAACTTGCGCCCCCTTTTAATTATGATTTTTTAATTTTTTTCACCATGATCTGGATTTGGTGATGGGAAGCCAGAGTGAATCTCCAAAAGAATAATGAGAGGGGCAAAGGAGAGGGGACATACTAGAGTAGAGATAGACAAGGCAATCTGTCGTCAAGGAATGGATTGTTAGTCTCGAGGGGGGAGGGGAGAATGAGCAACCTCAGGCCGGAACAGCAGCAGCCATCATACTTTTCTCTTTCTTTCTTTTTTTTTTTTTTTTTTCCTTTTCTTTCCTCGACGGAAACGAACGGGGGAAGCCTCAGGTCTCAGGCCGCAGGCCGCCCACATAAAGAAATTGCCTGGTTGGGTTAGTGCCAGAAAAGGACGCTTGACTGTTTTCGGCCGTGATTGATGCCCCAGGACCCCAGCAGGCAGCGACCGTGCCAAGACCCCATTTCAGGCATAGCGGCATCATGTGAGCAACAAGCGAGGAAACCATGGGTGAATGGAGAGAGAGAGTGAGAGTGAGAGAGTATGAAGGAGGATGGGAGTGGGGGTGGATTCCGACATCAGTTGATATGTCGATGATCACTGAGTCCTGATCACCTGCGGAAGGAGAATACCAGACCACAACCAGGAACCAACTCCCTGCCCGTTTTGTCTCGGGTTGATTAGATCCTCTGGTAGTCATCTCCAGGACTATGCAGAGGGGAAACAACTCGCCTGCAAGAGGCCAGTAACACCAACAGGGACCATGCATGTACCCTGACGGGAACGAAGCAGGGTTCCAAATCATCTGAAAAGTAGGTCGAAAGACGAAGACCCAACGGGTGGCAAAAAACAATAAAGAAGAGGGGAAATATTAGTAGGCATCAAGTGATGGTGATTAGTAGATGAGCAAAATCAAGATGAGCAAAAATGGAAGATATCGCTGGCCGTATTTCAGGCCAACGTCGGGTGGGCCCAGCTGGGCGGGTAGCGGTCAGATGGCAGACATTAAGAACGTGGTTAACCCGTATGATGGGAGATAAAAAAAAAAAAAAAAGAAAAGAAAAAGATGGAAAAATGAAGGCATTGGTGAAGGGTGAGAAAAGAGGTGAGAGGAGTACTCCGTAGAGGGAGCGGTGTTGCTATGGCAGTAGGCAAAAATCAGACCCGAGGAAGATTAGAAAGGCCCCCGTCCGTACGCCGCCCATGGGATCAGAAGAGAATGGGGTGAAGACAGAAATCTCGACAGGTATCTGAATAATGCCGCCTTATTAAAAAAAAAAACAAAAACAGGAATGGCAACTGGGGAGCTTCCTCTAAAGAGAAGGAGAGAAAGGGCATTTGGGAGATATGGTGAGATGTTTGTTTGCCAGGGTAGGGCGAAAGTGAGGTGGGTAAGAGGGGTGAGGCAGGGGAGTAACAGATAAAACCCAGAGTCACCAGACAAAGGTTGCATTCACCTAGAAGAGTGTATAATCTGATCATGAAGGGGAAAGAGAAAAAGACACAGAGAAGAAAAGAAAGAAGAGCATGTCAACTTAGGGGCGGAAAAGGGAAGGGGAAAAATCAGAGGGGAGAAGAGGGAGTGAGGGAGTGAGGGAGTAATGAGTGGGTAGGGAAAGTGGTAAGTAAAGTGACGAGGCGGACGCCTAATAATGATGGTATCAGTATTAGCACAGGCTGAACTCCAGTCCATGCTACAGATTGCCATTCTGGTCAAAGCAAAAGACTGACCGACCAAAAGACTGACCGACCCAACTGCAAGTGATGGCAGAAGAGTAAAAACGCAAACCCTCAGGCTGGAGGGGGAAGGAAAGACAGGCAATCGAATGGACAGGGTTCCTACTCTTCCTATATATTAATTTAATTACAACAGGCTAATACTTCCCAATTTTCCCAAACGTTATTTATTCTGTTATGTTTCGACGGGGTTTTCCCACGGGTTTAAAGGTCCTTTTTTTACTAACTAACTAGTGCCCAAAAAGGTTCCATGTTAGGGGCTGATAGATTTCCGTACGTGGCAAATGGGAAAAAATACGTACTAGTCGAATAGTTTGGGCCCTTTGCCTGAGGCATATCCCATGGTCGGACCAGCAGAACATTGTCGACATAACATTGAACGTCGGATGTCACTTGATTTTCTGTTTCTACCGTTCTTTCAATCCATCTTACAGGAGAATGGTGTCTATCTTAATTGGCGCTGTCTTTGGCCTTTAGAGCGAGAATACCGTGATCTATATAGATAGATCCGCGCCACATTTTGTCCTATCAACCTTGATAGTAAAGAAATACTGTAGAGAACCGCGTGTTGATTAGGAGCGTGTTTAGCAGGATAAGAAGAGACACAATGTGTATATGCAGCGGCTGCTTTGGGACCACCCGACACGCCGGTAGCTGATCCCCAGACCTGGTGTCTGCCTCGACACTCACCGAATCGTCGACTGCCTCACGGCCTTGTCCCACTCCGTTCAGTCGCATCAGTCCGCTTCTCAATATCAACAGCATTCCCTTTCCGTCGGAAATCTCGCCATGTGGTGACGGTAGCATTCAGAAAATGTCCCGAATAAAGAAGGACGAAGACAGCGAGCCCCATGTAGGCAGGGATGGACTCCGTCGTGGGCAGGGGACACGGCGCGGCGATGGTAAGCGTATTCGCGAGAGACAGCAGTAAGCAGACGACTATCCCAAAGTAAGTCCCGTAGGGTTGAATCCATGACTGGTGAACGGATGTAAACCCTTGCGCTTTGGTGGTCCGCCGGAACAGGAGGTAGACGATACACCAGGACATCCACGAGATATAACCGGAGGTCGTTATGAAAAACATGAGCCAATTATAGACAAGAGAGCTGGGCTCTCCTGCGGACAGAAAGGCGAGAGACGAGAACGCTGCAGACGCGGCAATCGACACATGCGGCACGCCCCAGGTAGCTCGAGCTTTGAAAACCGTAGGTGCATGCCCTGCCTCGGCCAGTGAACACAGCGTTCGTGAAGAAAGATAGAGAAACGAGCGTCCAGAAGCCACCGATGATAAGAATATTAGCCCTGTTGCTATCATAGACAATGCTGGGGTACCGATCCTTCCTACACCGATAATGTACGGTGACGAACCCGCACCGAGACCATTATTTGTTAAGCGCGGTTCGTCGTAGGGGCTCATCACACCGATGGCTACCACGCTGAGGGTGTAGAGCAAGGAGTGGATCATACTAGTTGTCGTGGAAGAACGGAGGATGTTGTATTTTGATTCGGATACTTCTTGCTCAGCTCTCTGGACGATCAGTTCCGGGGTGAAAATGAAGGACACGGTGCTGTAGACAAGACACTGGACGAGACCCAAAAACCGACCCAAAGAGTCACCAGTGGTATATTCGTGCATCGCGCCGGGGTTACGCCAATAGTGGAATCCTCCGGCGGGCGATCCAGGGAAGCTGGCCAACACGAGCGACAAAATCACAAGCCCCACCGTCGTGAAAAGCTTCAATCCGGTGAACATAACCTCGGATCTTTTGAACAGCCTCTCGGGAAGTAGATTGAAACCCGATATGACAAGACAGACGATGGCCACACGCAAGGCGACCTGGGCGCCGGGATCCCAAAGACCGATGTTGACCATTGCGTTAGTGATTTCGAAAGGGACCATCAAGGCGAAGGAGTACCAGCGAAGGTAGCCTAGCGCAAAGCCCAGATGGCTCCATCCATATTGGTATGTGTGTGTTACCGCAGTGCCATCGTCAGCGGGCATATGCGCTGCGACTTCAGCAATGGCCGTTGTGAGACAGTACACCAGGACAGATATGAATATGTAGGATATAAGGAGGGAGAGCGGACCCCCGGCCGCCAGAGCTGGACCGGACCCAATAAACAGGCCTGTTCCGAGGGTAGGGCCGACAATCATGATGGAGACTTGAGAATAATAGTGTCCAAGGAGTCCATAAGGATGCGAAAAAAGAGAGACTGGGGAGGATATACCACCATACAACAGGAGGTTATAAAGGTGGGAACCATAGCCAGTGTAGAAACAGCAATTTGGTGTTCAAGAACAGCACGAGATTGTCGCTACTTCCTCAGTAAGGATGTGGTGCACAGGCGATGATGTAAGGTAGTCCTTCCTTTACTGCAGCAACGAGACCGAAAGGCGAGAGAAGGAGGAAAGAAGGAAAAGACAAAAAACAGAGAGTAAAAAGCCAATCATTTCGCGGGTTTAAAGCCAAACGAGCAAATCTTGAAGGTTTCGAGTTTAAGTAGATATAGCAAGCAGGAATGGGTATAATCAATGTCTACCAAACAAAACAACGAGATAGACCCATACCCGTCATAGGCCACTGCAACAACGCCCATAGGTACGAATACCCAGAGAGTAAAGAAAAAAAAAAAAACGGATCCTTGTAAGACACTAACACCATAAACCATGTAAGTCGGGAAAGGCATATTTTGCCGACTGCCGATTATCGTCCCATTGAAAGTGTTTTCAGCCACATTCTAGGCCATGTCAGTCTCGGCATACTCAAGCCATTCGCCAGACAGCGATTTCTTCCAGAACCGCACAACACCATCGTCACCGGATGAGATGAGACAGTCACCTATTTACAATATTAGGTTGGTTGATCATCCCTCGCTTTTCATTATCTAGGGACACACTAAGACTTACCGGCATATGAGAACCCGACTTGCCAGACATCCAGATGCTTACTGTCAATACAAGCCACAAGTTTTGATGTATGCTTGAACTGCGAATCCCCCCCTGTGGAGCGACTAGACATAGACATCGGTGCGCGACTAGCCAGTGCCGAACCAATCCCTGATTGCGTTGTTGCACGGACCGACGGTGATTGCGCAGCAGGCTGCACATGCTTGTCGTTATTTGCATTTTGAGACCCACTGCTCGATATTGAAGTATATACTTCAAAGATTCGAACGAAACCATCCTTGCACCCACTGGCAATGAGATCATACCCCCGAACTGACCCATTGGCCCAAGAGATGTCTCGTACAAGACCACCATGACCGCTCAACTCTATAGCGTGGTAAAAGCGACGATTGGCATCGGTGCGGTACACCTTCACACTATCCATGGCAGCCACCACGAGAGACAGACTTTTGCGATCCCAAGAAGGCAGCACCGAGTGTGTAATATCAGTCGGATCATGGTGGAATTGTACCTTGAAGCTTGTTTCCTCCCCTCTCTGAGGCGCACTGCACACCCGAAACTCGTCAAGGGGCTGCCAGTCTGCAAGAGTATCCGGACTGACGGGCTCCATGACAATCAAATAGCCATCTCGCGTAATTACAGCAAGCCAGGTCTCTAGGTCAATGTTTCGAAAGTCAATCGAAACAAACGGATGCCGCTGTGGGGCTGTCATTCGGAAGATGGACCTGAAACGCCTGCCCGAGTGTGGGGGTTGCGTGACATCTTCTTGCCATATCTTGCATTTCATGTCTTCACCTACAGTGCCAATATGCTGTCCCGTAAATGGCCCATTCCATGCTGCCTAGTGGAAGTTAGATCAGAACGAAGAACAACGTTAGTGGAAATGGCTTTTCTGCTCACATCACGAATCTCAGCATCATGAGCACGCCATGTATCAGTCAGCTGCCATTGGCCATCCTTCTGATCCCACACCTTCATCCGGTGGTCCGAAGAAGCCGTGACAATGCGATTTCCATAGAAATTGAACTTTGTAACCAGTACCAAGTCGCGATGACCGGCATCGAAATCGGCGAACCCAGACGCCATTCCGAGCCGCCTGGGTGTTTCCAAACAACTGTTTCCCGCGACCAGACTTAGCTGTGCATCTATGGCATCTAAAGGGCAACGAGACACGTAGTTTCGAGCTTACTAGCCACAGACAGTTCAAAGTTGATTGTGATGGCTCCTGTCCATGCGCGAAGATCAATATGTATTCCTTTACATGTGAAGCGCGCCGCGCATTAATGCGCCTGGCTAGTGAAGATTACATAACACACTACCTCCACTATTCCGCTCTAGGGAAACTGTTGACGTCGGTGCCTCGGGCACCGTTTGCAGGCTACTTACCGCCTGATCCGGCGGTCAGGTCTATTCGGCAGAACGGCATTATACTGCCCTTGTCCCTGGTAGATCTGGCCTTTTACAGAGGTGCGATGGTAACTGATGTATTGATGGAAGACCAGTCCAACAGAAATCCATGTGGTAAGGTGGAGCGTATAAGCTCGTGATGAATTCAACACAGTCAGGTTCCCTCTCCAATGGGGAGATTTGGCGTCTCTTAATTCTCACGGGGATCTGCATTGCCATACTCGCCAACGCTTTCCAAGATGACGGCGCGCCCTTGGTGGCATCCGCTGCCTGTAGTGGAATTGCATATGTCGTGACATTCAGCATGATCAGATGGTTAGGTCCGGTCTTCATGAAAGCCGGGCTGAAGGGAAGGGACATGGCCAAGCCAAGACGACCCGAAATGTATGGACAGCGATCCTTTCTTTATTCTCGTGCTGGAGCTATATCACATAAGAATCGACGTCTCGATGACTAATTATTCTGAGTTCCTCAGACCAGAGACAATGGGCGCGGTTTGTGCCATTGTTTATCTTTTAGCAATCATATCCTTCATCCCATTTGCCTTCTACAAAGACATTGTCGCGGCTACCTCTGGCGGAGGCAATCGAGATGTCGTCGTCGAGGTCCAGCATGTCGAGACTGGCCGGATGCTACACCGATTCCCTCACGAAAAGGTTTGTTACGGACCTATCCTTCTGACCGGTTGTTACAGTGGGCAAGTGCTGATGATCGCAGCTGGCGTCCTATATGTCCGGTGTCCTCTCCCTACAGTGCATTGCCATCCTCGGCATTGGAGATGACCTTCTTGACATCCGATGGAGACACAAAGTCCTCATTCCTGCATTCGGAGCGATCCCAATGTTGATCGTTTATTTTGTAGATTTCGGTGTCACCCACGTTGTTGTACCGGTTCCATTGCAGCCGTACTTGGGCGCCGTTGTCGACCTCGGGTGGCTGTACTACATGTACATGGCGGCTGTGGCTATTTTCTGCCCCAATTCCATCAATATGCTGGCGGGCATCAATGGGGTTGAAGTAGCCCAGTCCTTGGTCATTGCAGTATTGTTGATCGTCAACGACCTGCTGTACCTTGCACCAATCACCCCGTTCCCGCATCCAGCCACAGACTCGCATCTGTTCTCACTTTATTTTCTCCTCCCATTCGTTGGAGTGTCGACGGCCCTGCTCTACCACAATTGGTACCCTTCCAAGGTGTTTGTCGGGGACACGTACTGCTACTTCGCGGGGATGGTGTTTGCCGTCGTCGGCATCCTCGGCCACTTCAGCAAGACACTACTTCTCCTCTTCATCCCGCAAATATTCAATTTCGTTTACTCGACCCCTCAACTGTTTAAGTTGATACCTTGTCCTCGGCACCGGTTGCCCAAATTCAATTCCATGACTGGGTTGTTGGATGCGTCCGTGACGGAATGGACCGTCCCACCTTCTCCATTGATCGCAGCGGCCTTGGAGCTTCTACACCGGTTACGGCTGATGCGCATCACGAGAAACGACAAGGGCCAGATTGTGGAATCGACAAACCTAACGATTTTAAATCTGTGGCTCGTGTGGATGGGTCCCATGAGGGAGAACCGGCTTGCGTTTCATATGGTTGTGGTTCAGATCGTTTGCGGATTCATTGGTCTTTTCATACGCCATCGTCTGGCGCTCGTGGTGTTCCGAGACGATAATCGAGCATTTGATTTTGGAGTTTAGCTTGAGCTGGAATTTATTCAACTTCTCCTATACTTATCTGCTTAGATTTTCAAGGCAACAGACTGAGAAAAAGTAGACTATTTAGCAGCCAACGTTGCATAGAAGCAGATACAAGGACACGGTCACACCAATAGCAAGCTATTGAATATACCACAGTGCATTTGATTGACAAGCACACCGATGTGTTTCTGTGAAAGATAGGCAGCTCCGGATAAACCCTCTAATTGAGAACGTGGCTCAGTGTTATGCCTACATCCTTTGGGAGCCAACCGTGGCGCCAACATACTGGTACAGACTAGCTTCATGGGGGATATACGAGGTACTGGGTCGTTTTGGTAATTGATTCCTATGATCCCAGCAGGGATGGATGCTCAACTGCTTCCTTTTCTTGGTCAATAGGCCAGCTGATCCGTGCTTATCAACAGCAACAGTAAAGAAGCCTGGTTGGAAGTACCTCAGCTAGTCAGTACCTCGATAGTACGGTTATTGCCGCCTTATCTCCGTCCGCTGACCGGAGATTCCATAATATCTGCTGTTATTGCCTAGCTACCATGCCTGATTCACTTTGTTATTCCTAGAATCTTGAGAAAGAGGGGACAAAAGCCACTAGTCATTGCCTAGTGCCTACTGCCTACTTACTGCGTGGGGAACTTGCCAGAGGGAGCGGACCCGCTTACGATCCACTCGAATCTAACTCCGTCTTTAACCCCGGGTGGTGTTTCCCCCCGCGTCTTGATCTCCTCCCCAGGGAGCTCCCATCGCTTCTGACCTTTCTGGTTTCGCCAATAACCTCAGCTATCCCAATCGATACTGTTTGGGGGACTACCCCGTACCAGCCTTCTGCTCGATTGTCATGACGTAACCCATGATTCGTCGCCCCACCTGTGTCATCCAGTTGCATTATTCCGACCTTGTGGTCCTGGATTCGAAACGCCCAAGGATTCTACTATGGTTCAAGTGCTGTTCAATTCAAAGTCATTGACGGTGATAATGCGTGATGACGTCGGAGTTACGCGGTGTTTGGGGAGCTCCGAAGACGGAATCGTATATAAGAAGAGAGCTGCGACCATGTTTGGGGTATTCGAACTGGACAGCAGCCAAAGGATCTCCAGTTCGATCGATTAATTCAAGTCCCAAATCATTCTTACCTTTTCACCTGACAGTTCAATCCAAAAACAACCCCTTCAACCGCACGCAGTTTTCAAGATGTCCACTACCTTTGCACCCGCCCCCGAGCCGCCCACCGAGCTCGGTCGCTACCGCATCCTCTCTTCGACGGCGGGGGTCCGGGTATCTCCACTGCAGCTGGGCGCGATGTCCATCGGAGACGCATGGTCGGAAGGGATGGGATCGATGAACAAGGAGTCCTCCTTCGAATTACTAGATGCCTACTTCGAAGCGGGCGGAAACTTCATCGACACAGCCAACAACTACCAGAACGAGCAATCCGAGGAATGGCTCGGCGAATGGATGACCGCTCGGAAAAACCGCGACCAGATCGTACTGGCGACCAAGTTCACCAGCGACTACAGGTCTCACGCACTGGGCAAGGGCAAGGCCCCCAACCACTGCGGGAACCACCGCCGCAGTATGAACGTGAGCGTGCGCGACTCGCTGCGCAAGCTGCAGACCGACTACATCGACATCTTGTACCTCCACTGGTGGGACTACACGACCTCCATTGAGGAGATCATGGACAGCCTGCACATTCTGGTGCAACAGGGCAAGGTGATGTACCTTGGAATCTCGGATTCCCCCGCGTGGGTCGTCAGCGCCGCCAACACCTACGCTCGGGACCACGGGAAGACGCCCTTCAGCATCTACCAGGGCCGATGGAACGTTATGCAACGGGATTTCGAACGCGATATTATCCCCATGGCGCGTCACTTCGGGATGGCTCTGGCCCCGTGGAGCGTGCTGGGCGGTGGCAAGTTCCAGTCGAAGAAAGCCTTGGAGGAGCGAAAGAGGCAGGGCGAGGGGCTACGCAACCTACTCGGAGCAGCGGGGCAGACGGATGATGAATTGCGGATGAGTGAAGCTCTGTCGAAGGTGGCCGAGGAACACGGCATCGAGTCCGTGACGGCTGTGGCCCTGGCCTACGTGATGCACAAGGCCCCCAATGTCTACCCCCTGGTGGGTGGCCGGAAGGTCAAACACCTCCAGGACAACATCCTCGCGCTGAGCCTCAAGTTGACCCCCGAGCAAATCGCCTCCCTGGAGAGCGTCAAGCCGCTGGATGTGGGATTCCCGAGTAACTTCATCGGCGAGGACCCCAACGTGACAGGTCAGGTCACGTGTCAGTTTCTGGCTGCCAACGCCCAGCTTTCATTTCCGCGGACGCGATAAACTGTTCATGATTTGTACTTAGCTTTCTTGTTTAGAGATTGATGACAGCTATGAGCTTAAATAACTCGGCGATATAGAACAGGAGAACAGGTAGAGTATAAACAGCCACGTGACCACCATGAATCAAGCACCCGCACAGACGGCCCTTAAATAGCGCTATGGGGAAACCGCCTCGTAAGTGCGCAGCCTAACAGCCTTAAACCTCAGGTATAGACCAAGCCTTTTTCGTGCCAAGTGGAGCCTCAGGCCCAATCACGGCCCGAATGTTAGTCATGCTCCGGGGCTAAGCGCGCAGCCAGCCGATGTCGGGCAGGAATCTTGCCAAGGGGGGCGGGATAGGCCAATCGCCACCCAGCGATTGGTGGCTGACCAGCCGAGATCGGGCCAGCCCCTCGGGCGCCGCGCAGCGACATCGCGGCCCTATGGGCGGCGGTTAAAATGTTGCTCTTGTGCTCTTTCGAGTATCCATCTCTAGATCACTCTTTTGTTACACGCCCGGAGAACGCAGACGGCTCCTCTCAAGTATCTGGAGTATCTCTGTCATTCCTCTCGCCTTCATTAACATCCACCGAATATCTCCATAATCTTACCTGACTCAATTTCTCTGCCCCTCATGCCTGGCGCCGATAAGAAGCCCAAGACCTTGTATGACAAGGTCCTGGAGCACCACATTGTCAACGAGCAGGAAGATGGCACCATCTTGCTGTACATTGACAGACATCTGGTTCACGAAGTGACCTCCCCGCAAGCCTTCGAGGGTCTCAAGAACGCCAGTCGCAAGGTCCGCCGGCCGGACTGCACTTTGGTCACCGTTGATCACGTATGTATCAAACACAGTCTTTTCCTTCTTCTTAACAGACACCCCAATAAGAGCAATTCTGACATGCTATAGAACATCCCTACCTCCTCCAGGAAAAACTTCAAGAATGTCAACGAGTTCATCGAAGAGAACGACTCCCGCCTCCAATGCGCCACCCTCGAGGAGAACGTGAAGGATTTCGGTCTCACATACTTTGGAATGGGCGATAAGCGCCAGGGTATCGTCCACATCATCGGCCCCGAGCAGGGTTTCACCCTGCCCGGAACGACGGTCGTGTGTGGTGACAGCCACACCTCGACCCACGGTGCTTTCGGTTCCCTGGCCTTCGGCATTGGTACCAGCGAGGTCGAGCACGTCCTCGCGACCCAGACCCTGATCACCCGCCGCAGCAAGAACATGCGCATCCAGGTCGACGGTGAACTGCCTGCCGGTGTCACTAGCAAGGATGTCGTCCTGCACATCATCGGTGTGATTGGAACTGCCGGTGGCACGGGAGCCGTGATTGAGTTCTGCGGCTCCGTCATCCGCGGCCTCAGCATGGAAGCCCGGATGTCCATGTGCAATATGTCCATCGAGGCGGGTGCGCGTGCTGGCATGATCGCACCGGATGAGATCACCTTCGAGTACCTCAAGGGGCGCCCCCTGGCGCCCAAGGTCGACAGCGCCGAGTGGAAGAAGGCTGTCAACCACTGGACCAGCTTGGCGTCCGACGAAGGTGCTCACTACGACACCAACGTTCTGCTCAAGGGTGAAGACATCATCCCCACCATCTCCTGGGGTACCTCCCCCCAGGATGTCATCCCTATCGCTGGGGTGGTTCCCGGCCCCGACGACTTCGAGGACGAGAACCGCAAGCTTGCCTGCAAGCGTGCCCTCGAGTACATGGGTCTGACGGCCGGCACGCCCATGAAGGATATCCAGGTTGACAAGGTTTTCATCGGGTCCTGCACCAACGCCCGTATCGAAGATCTGCGCGCCGCCTCCAAGGTTGTCAAGGGCAAGAAGATCGCCGCCAACATCAAGCGGGCTATGATCGTCCCCGGTTCCGGCCTGGTCAAGCAGCAGGCCGAGTCCGAGGGCCTCGACAAGATCTTCGTCGACTCCGGATTCGAGTGGAGAGAGGCTGGCTGCTCCATGTGCCTGGGTATGAACCCCGACATCCTCTCGCCGCAGGAGCGCTGCGCCAGTACCTCCAACCGCAACTTCGAAGGCCGCCAAGGTGCCGGAGGCCGTACCCACCTGATGTCCCCCGCCATGGCCGCAACGGCCGCCATCGTCGGCAAGCTTGCCGACGTCCGCGAGCACATCTCCGCCAGCCCCGTTCTGGCCAAGGTCGAACCCAAGGTCGACGTCAAGCCTGAAACCGAGGACGTCGAGACCGAGGACGAGCTGGACCGCGTCCTGGACCAGCCCGCCGACAACGAGCCCCACACCAACACCACTGGCGGCGCCGCCGGCTCCAGCGCCGGTCTGCCCAAGTTCACCGTCCTGAAGGGCATCGCCGCCCCCATGGACCGCTCCAACGTCGACACCGACGCCATCATCCCCAAGCAATTCCTCAAGACCATCAAGCGCACCGGCCTCGGCAGCGCCCTCTTCTACGAACTCCGCTACAAAGACGGCGCCGAAGACCCTGACTTCATCCTCAACCAGGGCGTCTACCGCAACTCGAAGATCCTCGTCGTGACAGGCCCCAACTTCGGCTGCGGCAGCTCGCGCGAGCACGCCCCCTGGGCACTCCTCGACTTCGGCATCAAGTGCATCATCGCGCCCTCCTTCGCAGACATCTTCTTCAACAACACCTTCAAGAACGGCATGCTGCCCATCGTCATCCCCGACGAGGCCGACCTGCGCACCATCGCCGACGAAGCCCGCGCCGGCCGCGAGGTCGAAGTCGACCTCGTCAACCAGGAGATCAAGGATGCCCAGGGCACCAAGCTCGCCTCCTTCGACGTCGAAGTCTTCCGCAAGCACTGCCTCGTCAACGGCCTCGACGACATCGGCCTCACCCTCCAGATGGAGAGCAAGATCCGCTCCTTCGAGATCCAGCGCACTCTCGAGACCCCCTGGCTCGACGGCTCGGCCTACCTCAAGCGCGGCACCCGCGGCGGCGCAAGCATGGTCCAGGCTGCTCCTGTCCCCAAGACCAACCGCGGAGACGTCAAGGACGAGCCTCTGGAGTGGTAAAACAACTGGATACTCACTCCACTGATACGACCGCCATGCTGTAGTTCTTGATTACCTTTTTTTCCCCCTTCTTTTTTAATTACTTTTTTTTCTTCTTTTTTTCGGCTCATTTTGGGTTATCTTCAGGATTAGACGCGGATGATAGTCAGTCTTGTTTATGCTGTATACACGAACGAGAACGCATTGGGATGGTTCCGGGTTTAAACCTTGGTTATTTTATTTTATTTTATTTTTTTTTTCGCATAAATCTTAGTTAGTTGTCATATACCTGAGGGCTCAAAATGACAATTATTTAGTGCTAAATTGTGTATTAGCCTCCTTAACTTCAATACGTCTATTGGTTCTACATAGATCAATCTGATCTGATCTGGTCTTTACCAAGTGGAATCAATCGTGTCACGATACTTGGAAACCTGCACACCATAAACAGATGCTTCTCCATTAAAGAAAAGAGAACTAAGTCCTCAACCAGATAGACAAGATAAAAAAAATCACAACAATAACATCTCAAGAACCAAAAATGAAAATAAGAAAAGCAGATTAGATACTTCAAAAGCTGACCACCCAATAATGAATAAACAACGACGATAACAACATGATATCTCTTTTCTGTTCAATCCATCGCTTCATTTAGCTCAATTCCATTCGGCTCAATTCCGACCCATTCAACCAGCAATAATCATGAAAAGAGCGTAACAGGTTCCGTAGACAATCAATCAATCAATCAATCAATCAGATAAAAGAGCGTAATGGCATCCGATTCGTGCAGTAAACAATCAATAAATCAATCAACATGTGGAATAAATCCAACGTGTGGGTGCGCATGAAGTGGCTGTCATGGATATGGATCGTGGGTTAATGTACAGGGGGATTAGGATTGGCTGAGTAGTTGCTCGTTTCTTCCCTTTTCTTCTTCCTTTTCTTTTTTTGGGGGCTTTTTTTGGTTTTGTTTCTGCTCTTCTCGGCCTGTTCGCTTCTTCTTTCTCTTTTTGCGTGCTCATTATCTGTATTGTATGTCTCTTTCTTCACGTAACCTCTGCTTCTGTGCTCGCTTCAATCAATCAATCAAGATAAAAGACATTATTCAAGTGGCGTAATTATGTATCCGGTGTTAATGACGAAAATGAAAGGGCAACAACCCCTCAAGTCAAGACAAGACATGCGAGTCTTCTCCTGGTGGGTCATTGCCAGGATGTGGTATATACTGCTGGCAATCTGAAGTGCATGCGCACTAAGGCTTGGTAAGTTGTTCTTTGCGGAAGAAGAGGAGGAAACCACCGCTAGAGAGCATTAGTACTCAAACCGAAGGACACAAAGGATAGAGAACCTACCAGATAACAAACTGGAAGAAGATGGCAATCCAGAACCACGCGTTCGCTACTGCGCTCGGCCCAGCCGTGACATCCGGCGAGATGGGCCCAGGCCCGATGTTGTTCGGCGCGAACGCACGGGCACAGATCGTAGCGATGGAACCCAGGACCTGAGATGCAAGCAGCGTGAAGCAGATGTGCAGTCTTGTCATGGTCTGTAGCAGGATCATGCCAAATCCGAGACCCTGAATGGCGTCTAGGATGCCGAGCCAGAGCCAAAGACTTCGTGAAGCGAGAGCGCCTCCTACGGAACCGCCGGCCCACGGGAGGAACACGCCCATGCCGGAGACACCCCACCAGATTTGGGCCCAGCGGGGGCCGATCAGGCCGCAGGCAAAGACGGGGAGGATCCAGCTGTGGGATCTGGAGAGGTGGGCGAATATGTATAGCAGTAGGACCCAGGCGACGCCGAAGAAGGCTATGACGAGAAGGCCTATTTGCCAGGGTTGGGCGTGGGTGGAACTCCAGAGGACTCGGGGGTGGTTAGTTGGTTGTTATTCAGGGAAAAGGAGAGGTGGACTTACAGGCCCAGTTTCGTCCGTAGGGTGCACTGAGGAAGAAGTTTTGCAGGATGACGACCACAAAGTTCCATAGAATGATCTTGCGGCGCATGACGGATTGGT